TGTTTCTATTTTTGTTTGATTCACAGTTACTTTTCACATATTAATTTGTACAAATAAAATGGTTTTCACGAACTGCAAACTAATCGGATGCTTCAGCAACACAGTAAAAACTCTTTACCAAATAAAGCAAAGAAATAAAAGACTAGAAGTTAATTAGACTCCAGAATTTGTTTAAAATATATATACAAAGATCCCATGTTCTATGATAGCATTTTATCCTGGAGAAGAAAGTAGCTGGGAAGCCCGTTTGTTCTGAAAAATCTGCTCCAAAAATACTTGATTTCCTCTACTTTGTATCAAACTGAAAATAAAAGCTTAATAAAAATTGCTTCTCCTGCAACAAATGAAACAAAGATGTTTCAACAACATAAAAGATATTGCCATATGAAAAAACATGGTAATACTTCAAATTTCAGGAAAGCTAAAAGTGTAGTACAGGTTGAACCTCTCATCTAGGACTCCCTGCTTGGCAACATCCGTGGTCTGACAGGACCACAGATGTTGATAAACGAGAGCGCCCCAGCCACAGAGGTTGAGAATGGCTGGGAACAAAGTTGGTCTGCTCGGCAGTAGCCTTCAGGGCCAATGGTCTGGGGGCTGGCAACCCCGGAGCAGCTGCCGCTGCGTACGAGACCAAAGCCAGAGAACCTCGGGAGCAGCTACCATCCAGGAGAAGCTGCCGCCCCGCGTGGGGCTGGAGGCAGGGAGCAGCAGAGCCAGGCAGGTGGACTAGAGGAGAGGTCAGTCATCCATGTTCTCCTGAGGCAGCAGCCAGGAAGGGAGCTCCTGAAGAGCCTGGATGCCTGACCTTCCCTGGTCCAGCATGGGACCCCTACGGTCCTTAACGTGCTGGACCATGGACGTTCAACCTGTAGTTCATTCACTAGTAGACACAAATGAAAATGTAGGGCTTCTGGGTTTCAGCTGAAGGAAATAACACACTGGATTGTGTGTACACATATATACTCTCAGATGTGTGCTTGGTTTTTTGTTTCTTTGAGTCCAGGAGACTTGTCCAGCAATTATGAAAAAATTAGGACTCTGATGTCAGTATCCACATATGGATTCAGTAGCCTAATTTTAGGCAGCCATTCTTGAAAATCCTGACATAAGACACTAAAGTGTTTCACATATATAATATGAAGTAGGTAGCATTCTGAGCCTACCCTCTGGGCGAATTCCTGGCTCCACTGAAGTCAATGACAAAACTCTCATTGATTTTAGTGTAATCAGGATCTCATCAGATCTGTGCAATAACAGCACCACAAACATATCCCCATCCTTTTATTGGTAACTTAAACCACAGCCAAAAACCAGGTAATTACCCTAAGCTTTCTCCACAAGCTTGGTTGTTCTCAGGTTCTGGATGAAGACTTCTATATCCCAGGCCCTATTTATCTCCTTCAGAGAGGCTTCAACCTCAACTGAGGCTAGTGGGATCCACCTGTTAACTCCACATTAATTCTACTGCACCTTCACACAAGGTTGAATCAGCTGACAACAGAGGAACCCAGCCTTCTCAACCCTCTCTGTTACACATAATCAGGTAAAATATTCTTGCTGTACTAAAGTAAGCCAACAGTAAGTGATGCTACTCACTGTTTTATCTTGAGTTACTTTCACTCGCTGACTACATTTGTTTTGTTGTATTATCATACCAGAACCACAAACTGAATATAAAAAAATGACTAGAATCATTTTGTATTTAAAATTTTATTAGTGATTAAATTGCTGTCACTTAAAAGTCAGGCATAGCAATTTTATTTCTAGAGGACTGGACAAAAAAAGATTAAAGGCTTATTTTTGTATGCTGTTAAGAGGCAAACTACATAATCATCTTCTCCAGGCTTCAGAATGCCCTCAAATGACAACTTTCTAATGTTCTTTAATTAACACGGTATACTTTACTGGACAGCAAAATGCAATTTTATAACCTTATCACCCTTACCAATTTTGCAGTTATGTTACAATCAGAAATAGTTTCCCTAACTTTTCTATAATTATGTACAGTAAAAAACAAAACTTTCTGGGTAGAAATGGGTATATTTTACTATATATACATACACACACACACACACACACACACACACACACACACACACACAGAAGCAATAATTATCCATGTATCAGATTAGATTCCGGTGAAAAATTACGGTGACAGAAACTGTGGCATAATATTGCAGCAACATGAAAATTAAGCTAAGAGTCCGATTTTCTTGTGTGGCCCATTACCTTATTATTTATTTAGATGTACAAGTCTAAAATATTCACTGTACATCTATAGGGAAGAAAAATCACAATTGTATATAGCTAATTATTAAACTAACCTTTCAATAACATAATATTGAAAAATGAATTAATCTACCCCTTGATTAAAGATAATTGTTAAAGAATATTAAAGTATAATTGATTAGAAATAAAGCAGGTATAATGATATTCACACTACTGAAAAAACTAATAGAAAAAAAAATGAAACTGCTGGTAAGAAATTTAACTCAGGCTAAATGTTAAGAAAGCAAGGAGAGTGGAATTAGTACCAGAAAGGAAACTGTAAGGCCAAACAGTACTGACCACATACCTCTTAATTTGGAAACCAAACCTATGTGAGTTAATGGCAATGATGTACATGCTCTGCTGCAAGGAGGGAATGACCCTAACTCTTTAGTGCTGCCTCACTCTACGGGGGTTCTGCCAGACAGCATGTGAGAAGCATAGATTCTGCTGTGGAATATTCATCCATCTTCACAAAGTAGAACAATAGTGCAATGACAGAAGATATTAACGAAGGAGCTAACTCAGAAGAACACGCAAGAGGTCATGAAGCCACGTCTCTAATTTTTCACCTTTGTACTTCAAATGTATGTATACTGATAAAGGCGATTAAGATATTTCAACATTAGTCTAAGATTTTTTGGGGCGGAATTATTTCTCCCTATTCAGTTTCTCTACAGAGGGCTCTGTTCCCAAACTAAACACTCTGCAACACATGACAAACTTGTGAATTTCAGGGATGCAAAAGAGTTTGTGGTCATAATAAATTTACAGAAATACAATACACAAGAATACAATACATTTTCCATATAACTGAGGTTGTAATGGCCAACAACTGTTCAAGAGTGCCACCACTTTATTACTCATGAAATAATATCAACTTAAATAGTATGGTGCCTACTAGCCTAATTGTCAGTAAATTTGATGAGCAGCAACATGCATCTGAATCTTTGCAATTACTTAAATCTTTAAAAAAAAAAAATCTCATGCGCATAGCCATGTTAGTCTATAACTTTAAAAACAAGTGGTCTGTGGCACCTTAGAGATTAACCAAAATATACAGAGTTGGGTTCTGCCCACAAAAGCTCTTGATTCTATATATTTTGGCTAGTCTCTAAGATGCCACAGAACCACTCATTTTTAATCTTTTAAATCAGGATTCCACTTGAAGAATATTTAAATAATGAAAATAATTTGATAAAAGTGACATGTATGTAACCATTTTACATATTAATACTCTGTTAATATGTTTTACAAGGAACCAAATTGTCTGTAGAATTAGATGTATTATTTGTTGATTAGTAGAATGTATTTTTGCACCTTATCTACAAGAATGAAATGACTATACATCCACTAATCTGAGGGGAGTCCACATGCAGACTCTTTTCAAATTTGAAAGGTGTGTTTACCAGCACAGGCAAGAGACTGCAGGCAAGGTTTTATGCATAGAGAAAAGGGAGCAAAAAGAGGCTGAAGCTTTTTTTTAAAGAATCAGAAACTATCAAAAATACATTTAAAAAAAATTAAGAGTTGGAAGTGTCCCTTCAAAAATGAAATGATCACTTATTTTCAAAGCTTCTTTATCCCAAAATGTAATATTGGCAGCATTTCAGATTTTTGTATTAGTGCATCTTCTTTTCAAGAAGAAACATGTATGCCCATTAAACAAAGTTATTGCAATTATATGTCTAAAACGTCATACAAAATGGGCATAACACTTCAGGAAATATACCAAAATGCAAGGAGTGTTTTAAAAGGACGCTGTCAAATCTATTATTGTTACTTAAAAGTATTCGACAAAGGATGTATACAAGACTTTGTTCCTTCTAAAAAATTTTAGGAGGCATTAAATACCCTTATAATGTTAACTTACTTGCATTAAAAATGACCCAAAACTAAAAATTCTTTAAACTAGTGGCTCCAAGAACTGGCAGCTTTACACCATTAGTTCACAGCTTTAAATATCAAAGCCAGGTTGGCAACAACGATAAGTTGTTAATATTCAACTACTGGCAATAGTTGATAACATTAAAATATGATTTACAGCCTCCAAATATAGTTCAGAAGAATTTTAGCACTGAAAGAATGGTTTTAAAAGTTTTATAAGATGACTTATGTATGATTTTGATAACTGATAAAGACCAAATATAATCATTTGGACCTAACATCTTGACAATGATCCTTTAAAAATAGAACTACAAAATATTGACCATAAAGGTCCTAACAGATTTTACTTTCACACCTTACTATCCAAATTTTAAGAACAAAGTAAAAGTTTTTCTAATGGAAAAAATTGACTTTAAACTCAATTTCAGCAAATAGTATCATCTCTGGCAATACTCAATGGCTCATGTTCATGAAGCAAAGGATATTAATATCATACAGTCCTGCCTCCTCCTTGATGGTTTCATTATTCAGTGACAGAGTAACTTAACAGTAATAAGGGATAAATAATACTGCTTTAAAAATCTAAAAATGTCATTTGCTAAGAAAAATCCTGTAGAATGACCTCTGTGTATAAGCCTGTCATTAGGTTCTTGGAGTCAAATGAGTGTCTTCCAGAAAAAAATGATTTGACAAAATATCTTCACAGCTCTTGCACTCAATGAATATATAACAACATAATAACCTGCACATCTATTCTATTCATGAACTACACATGCTCAAAAAAGTCAAACAGTTAACAGCTACAGTTGATTTCCTGGGATTGTTTAAATAAAAGACAAACCCTAATACAAACAAAATTTATTGTAAAACAAGGTGAAACAGCAATGACTTTAGCTGAGTTACTGCTCTACAGTTCGATACAGAGCACAATGCTCTTAGGAAGGCCAAAATAAAATGATAGCATAACTACGCAGATGTTGCATCATTAAAATCGCTTTCTCTTGATAATTTCTGGTTTCCAGCTGACAGGATGAGTTTCTTCAGTCTGGAAATAAAAAGTAACAAAAAATAAAGTCTGAAATTGTAGCAAAAGTATATTAACTGTAAACTAAGCTATAATTAGTTTATGGCTTGAAGATCATTTTACACATATAACCAGGGCTTGACAAATCACTGAATCTACTCATGGGCGAGTAGATTTCAGCTGGTCACCCCATTCACCAGCAGCGCGCGCATGCGCAATGCGGGTCTTGCGCATGCATAGTGCAGGGCTGGCGAGTAGGTTTTAGCGCCGTTTATCAAGCCCTGCATATAACTATACATTTTATAGGTACACAATATTCATATCTTTATAATACTGAAACATTTATATATTTGCTGTAGATAGAATTTTAATTTAGAATGCTCAGTGGCTTCATATACCCATTAATTTTGTTTTTCCTCCCTCTCCCATCCTTGGAAATCCTAGACAAATCTTGTTTTTGTGAATTTTTTTGGTAGGAGAACAACATCTTGAGAGGTCAATGGAGTGTTAAGAAGAATGTTCTGATGATCAGGTACAGGACAGAGTCAGAAGACTTGGGCTCTACTCTCAGTTCTGCAACAGACATGACCTTAGGCAAGTTCTTTAAACTCTGTGCCTCATTTACCCAATGTTTAAAGTTACCTCAAAGAAATGGATGCTAATTATTATTTGTGAAGCACTTTTAAAATCTTCCATGTCAGTAACATTATATAACAATAGTCTTATCTAATATTATTTGTATTATAGTAGTGCCCACTGGATCCGAAAATCCAAAAATTATTATTAGATCCCAAGCACTACATACACTTATTATATAGAATGACTATACAGTAACTGATCCCATTCCTTGATGTACTCACAATTTTTAATAGTGCAATACTTCAAAAATAAGCTGTCTACACTAGATGCCAGTCAGCTTGCCTTATAAACTACTTTATAGGAATTGCATAAAGAAGAGAAATATATCCCTTTTAAATTGTGATTACAATGAGGCATACCATTACATTGGCCTCAGTTAGCAATGCATACTCCTTTTGTAATGGGATATCCCCTATATCACAAGGGGACATTTGTATTTGAATAGATGAACCTCCTTTAGACAAGCTTTCTATAGAGAGTGCATCTCCCTAAACCAGGACTCTGGTCTGGCACTATCCGTGGTCTGGCAGGACTACGCATGTTCCTGGACAAAAGACGCCCAAGGCAGGAGGGCCAACAGCCGGGAGCCCAGGGGGTTGGCGGTAGCGGGCCCAAGGCCACGACAGTCCGATTAGCATTGGGGTTGGGGCAACCTGCTCAGCAGCGGTGCCTGGGCCACAGATCACTTGGGCGATGTGGGGCTGGGACCACAGCAAACTGGCGGGGGCTGTGACAATCCGGTTGGGGTGTGGACAGCCTCGTAGTCTGGATGGGGTGGCGTGCCACCCGGCCAGGATCATGACAGCTCAACCAGCAGTGGGTCTGGAGTGGACCAGGTCCGGGAAATGCTAGCAGGCAGCTCAGCAGGGGTGGAATTAGTCAGTAAGTAGGAAGGGGTAGAGGGCTGAGGGGCTGTGGCAGGGGACCTCCCTTGGTCCAGCAAATTCCCTCTTTTAGGATAAGTGAGGTCCTGAGGGAGCCAGACCAGAGAGGTACAACAATAGTTAACAGGTAATCACTAGTGCAAAAACTAAATCCTGTCCTCCACATATTAGACAAACTACTATTTTGCTCTCTGATATAAATGTTGTGACCTTAGCCTGAATAAAACAGTTCTGCAGAAATCTTGACTGTTAACCTAATGCTTTATATTAATTTTGTATAGGAACTGTGGACTTCAGGAAAATGCAATTAAGACATTTCAGCATACCGCAGTATCATCTTCTCTGTACACTTTTATGGTTTTATCAGCTTCCGCAGTGAGCAATCTGCTTTCCGACTGGTCAAATGCACAAGCAAATATTCCTGATTCACTGTCCAAAGAACCAGGCTGTACAGCTGCATGTACTCTCTGGAAATTATACCCAGTTCTCCAGTCCCAAAGATGCATAGTGCCATTATCAGCTAAAAAAGAGAAATAAATTCAGTACTTCAGTCAATCCATTTCTGTCAACTTTCTGTAAGAACAGTATTCTGGACTTTTGACTAATGCATGAGGAAATCCCCTGATTTGAACTGGTTAGACAAAAATACTCAATTAGAATAGTTTATTGCACCTCAATAGGTTCCCCCATTTCCTCTTGGATTCCTAGTTCCCTTCCTGACAAAGAGGGAGGGCTACAGAACAGATAGTGCTGGAATCTTGAACTTCAATTCCCCACTTGGTAGTATATGACATTACCGATTGAATGGCATTTCTTAATTCAATCATGAATTAATTAGAAACATTACAGGGTCTATTACCTCGCATAAGTGTAAAGTTTATAGAAGCTCTTTCAGATTAAACCAGAGCCAATCACTGCCTGTAGCATAATTTTAAGGGTATTTCCAAGGATCTGATCTCCATGTTTGGAAAAAGTTTATATCAAAGCACTATTTCAGTTATGATAAATGTGTCTCCTAAGTCAAATGATGTTTAATTTGTGCACAAATACCAGACCTGGAATCTAGACATTTCAGGAAGTGTGTTTTCTAAGGTATGCCTTTAAACATTAATGTTTCTTATTTCAGCATCAGTTTCTTTAAAATTGTGGCAGACTGTATACTGATTTTCAAGAAAACCTGTTCTGTACAGCCCACTTTTTAAAAAAGTCTTTAACATTTAGTTCTGTCTAGAGCAGCAATTTTGATCTGTGGAAAGAAATTAGTTTCTCCGTAAGTTTCAGCTATTTCAAAAGGGCAGCCTACAGAATAAGAGCAGCCCTGTTTTATACTAAAACCAGTACAAATACTCCTAACAATGTCCTTGCAAAATTTATCCTTCAAAATCACCTAGAATTAAATAAAAAAGAACCCATTTTAAAAGCTTTTACCCACGCTATTTGCATAAATGCTGAAGGTTATGAACTATTATTTATAGTGACAAATACAGATTTAAATTATATTTAAAAAGAAAGCACACACTGAAATTTTAAAAACAATCAGAATAAACTGACCTAAACATATTTAGCAGTCTTTACCCCAAGTACTCTAATTTTTATTACAAATCTTTAGTCTTGTGCTTACCACTGCACTAAGTATGACAATAACCAACATTTAGTTGTTTGATGATTCTCCTCTAAAAAGTGGCTTGTATCTCAATGACTTCCAGAGCAAATCTAGTCTAGTTAGGAAGTATTCAGCATTTAACTTAATATACTATTTGTAAAATTTCCTGGGAGGTAGTTTCAAAAAAGGGAAATAGATTCAAGGAATTTGAAAACACACACACACACACACACACACACACTTTGCTTAGATGTATTCATCTTGTGGTGACATATTAAAAAGTCAGTGCCTACTTCAGATTCAGAGTATAGTGGGGGTTCACAGAATGACTGCAGACACTCCACTGCAGCCAATGGAGGGCTGGTGAAAAGACAAGACTCCTCTTCTTGCTCTTGGGAGCTAGTTAGCCAATCTACTTAGGCTGCATATTTGACTAGGGATTTAGGCTTAAAAGCATACACAAAGAATAATCAAGCCATTTAAATTTTACCTCCTGATACCAACACTCCATCAGCATTCACAGCCAATGTGTTGATTATAGCATTATGACCAGAAAGGTTTTGAATGAAATTTCCATCTGGGAACTTCCACTGTTTAATGTTATCTGGAGAACCAGATGCAAATGTATAACTGGAACAAAGTAAAAAAGAGAGGTAAAATATAATTAAATCAGATCATTATATTAAGAATTCATTTCAGTGTAGCATATAACTATTGAAGCTGCAATTGTATATAGCAGACGTTGAATGTTATTTCCAAAATTACTTTTATCACTAAATCACGTTATCTGAAACAACCAGTTTATAAAAACAAACTTTTATATTTATATGCATTACATTCTAAGAGTGCAAATGTCAGTTATGTAATTCTGCTGTTTTGATTTTTTTTAACTTTATTAATTGCATTATATAACTTAGGGGAGGTATTTTTGTTTGTTTTGTTTTCAGGTATGCATTAAAAATGATAAATGTTTCAAAGGAACAGTAATACTCAATAAGAACACAGGAATATTAGCTTTTACAGCACCCCACATTTAAATTGGCTAGTGTTTTGCTCTGCTTTGCTCCCCATCTCCCTGGTCTGTTAGTCTCCAGCAGACCAGGGAAACGGGGAGCAAAGCCTCTGAGGACGCCGGCAGCGGGACAGCCGTGGTGCGTCTGGGCTGTCCGCTGCCCGTGTGCTCCCCGGCTTTGCTTCCCGTTTCTCTGGTCTTTATTAGAATTACACTTCAATGCATGTGCCCCCGCTAACTGACAGAGATAAACAAGAAACTTTCTGTAGACAGATTATTCCATAACTATCTACTACCTAAATAACAACAGATGGTCTGGTAGCAAGTCTATAAAGTGCTACCAGACCATTTGTTGTTTTCTAAGTTTATCCTGTACAAACTAAGCTGGCTACCCCCTGAAGCTATCTAGTACCTGGCTTTTTTGTACCTGCCTCAGAAGTATCTGATACTGGCATATGCAGACAGGATACTGAACCCAACAACCATCTCATTTCCAGACTTGTGTACAAAAGAGAATTTGCAAAATCTTCCCATTTTCTTTTAATTCAGATTCAGCTTCATTATTACTGGGAGTCCTAGTGCCATGGGTTGTAAGCACAATATCATCTATCCCTGGTGCTCAAGAATCTACACTAGAGCTCCACAACACTAACCCCAGTAGAATTGAACTGGTGTTGTTAACAAATGCTTCTCAAGCCAGGTCAACACTAGGGGGCAATGTTGAACCAGCTGCATGAATAGTGCAGCTGGAGTTGATGAACCCTAGTTTGCGTTATAACAGCATTTCTGCTATGTGGAGTCAATGGGAAGAACTCTCCCTTTGACTCCCACACTTCTTGATGGAGTACCAGAGTCGACAAGAGTACAACCAGCCGTTGATATAGCAGGTCTTTACTAGACCCGCTAAATTGACCCCCAGGGGATCGATCCCCACAGGGCCAAACTCCTAATAAGTGTAGACAATGTCTTAGATAACTTAATTGTAATGGTTTCTTTTTGTGTACATATTTTTTAACTCTTCATTTGCTGGACTGGGCATTACATATAAAACTAATGTTCTACAACATTTCTAATACAAACTAAAGGAATGAAAGAATGAGGAAAACTTACTGCCTTGGATGCAGTACAACTGCTCTTACAGATTTCTTGTGATTTGTCAAAGTGACACGAGTTTTTCCTGCCACTAAATCCCACAGTCGTATTGTAGTATCATGGCTTCCTGTGATTTAAAAAAACAACAATAAAGAACAGTATACGATAGATAAACACTACCAACTTTCATTTGGACAACCAAATCTCATATACAGAAGTTGCTAATAAATAAAAACAAGTCCTTTAATCCTCAAGTGCTTAACATACTAACTAAATATACTGATTTTTAGTTGTATATTAATATGCAACCACCTCTTAAGTAAAACATACTGCCTTTTAACAGTCTACAGAACCATTATAAATGTTTAAAAGAAAGAATGATTATTTTATCTAGTTTTAAACTAGAAAGGAAGGCAAGTTGTCATAATGGATTTTGACTATATATGGGGTTGACATCATTTTTACTCTTAATTGTACAATCTGAAATTCTTTATTTACATTTAAATTGACATACATGAAAAGAACCACGCAAATGTTTTATATATTAAATGAAAAAAATTGAGAATATTTAAGAACAAGACGACTCTGGAAGTGCAGAAAGTAAAGTTTCCATTGAATAATACATACAACATATTATTAGGCACATTATTAATAGGCCAACAAGTACTGGAATTACGCATTGTGCAATATTACTATCAGAATCCTTACTTCTGCATTAACTGATATGTGCTTTAACACAACCTTACTTTTGCATTCATGTAGCAGTTATTCTGTATTATTTCCTATTTAAGAACATAAGAACAGCCAAACTGGGTCAGACCAACAGTCCATCTAGACCAGTATTCTGTCTGCCGACAGTGGCCAATACCAGATGCCACAGAAGGAAGGAAAACAACAGGTAATCCTCACGTGAACTTTCCCCTGTGACCCATTTCCAGACAAACAGAGGCTAGGGACACCATTCCTACCCATCCTAGCTAATAGCCATTGATGGACCTAACCTCCATGAATCTATCTAGCTCTTTTTTTAACCCTGTTAAAGTCCTAGCCTTCACCACTTCCTCTGGCAAGGAGTTCCAGAGGCTGACTGTGCGCTGAGTGAAGAAACATTTTCTTTTGTTCGTTTTTAAACCCGCTGCCTATTAGTTTCATTTGGTGACCCTTAGTTCTTATATTGTGGGAATAAGCAAATAATTTTTACTTATTCATTTTTTCCACACCAATCATGATTTTATACACCTCTATCATATTCCCCCTTACTCTCCTCTTTTCTAAGATGAAAAGTCCAAGTCTTTTTAATCTCTCTTCATATGGGACCCATACTAGCATTAACCATCCCGTTGTGATGGTAGAGGTACACGTAGCATCCTCCATCCCCACTGTTCCTGGGAGCGGGGAGGCTGGGACAGACTTGGGCTGCAGGGCCTCCTCCCTCCCTGCTGTTCCCAGGGGTAGAGTAGATCAGGCCATGCATCCTATTCCCTCCCTGCTGCTTGGTGGATATGAGGGCATCCACATGCTCTTCCCCTCCCTGTGACTGTGGAGGGGGGCGCACATGCTTGCTTAGAGCGCTGATTCTCCTTCCCTCCCTGTGGTGTGGAGCGGGGCCTAAGCAGAGGGGGTAGGGTTGTGGTGGGACTGGGGGCCTGCCTGCCCCCAGAAACGTCTCAAATCTTCTCAAATGTTTTCTGTGACAGATGGCGTGACGAACCATTCTCCTTTTATAATAGTATAGATTACATTAGTTCCAAATCTGAGCATTGTATAAATGTCACAGTAATGATCCTTACTTGCCTCCAACAGCTTATAAATTGATTTAATACAAGACACAGCAAATGGGAAAAATAAATGTGATGAATTGGGATTACTCAATTAAAGTAACAGCAATATGCACATGTGCTTATTCAGAGTAGTTATATGCACAATTAGCAATTCTGAGTAGTTCCATCTAGGAAACAACATGTACCTGTAATAATCTGTGGTTCCGCAGCTTGGCACTTCACTGTTGCCACTGCATTTGTGTGTCCCGCTAATGTATGCACACTGGCTTTTGTCCTCACATCCCAAATCTATGAGAGCACAGTAAGTTCAATTAGTCAAGAAAATGTACGTCCATCTTTTTGGTCCTATCACTGACTGCATAGATTATGTGCCACAACCTTGATAAATGAAACTACCATGCTTATGCTATAAACTTGTCTTAAAAATTCACCACAGAACTATGCAAGCTGGAGAAAACATTTGAAAAAGCTGCCATTCAATGTATTCTAAAAGACATCCTTACCTTAGACCAGAGAATGAAACCTCAGGCCTGGGGGGCCAGATGCAGCCTCCAGCTTGCCTGGATCCAGCCCCCAAGGCTGAGGGCTTCCCCTACTATAGGAATGGCACACACAAAATCTACTAGCCTGGGTTCCCCTAGGGTCTGGTATATGAGGAAAATGTGAGGCGAGTCTTTCTCCTTCTCAGTCGGGGCCCCCTCAGTGAGGGTTGGGTTTTTTGGGGGGACTTCTCCCTTGTGCGCAGCCCCAAATGGTTTTTCTGTGGGTCATCAGCCCCTGACCCAAAAAAGGTTCCCCACACCTGCCATAGACCTTAGTTCATCCCATGCTTCAGCAAATTGGGCTACTCTAAGGAAATTAGGACAATTTTATTTAAAGCCAGTGACCATAAAGCTGTACTTACCCTCTTAGGTCAATAACTTTAATGAATAAAGGTTCTTAAATATCTAAGTGATCTTTCTTATTAGCCTCAGATACAAGAAATATAGAAAACATGTTTCCTTAAAATGCCACTAGCCTTGCCACTGTTGAGCCCAATTTAAGGCTTCAATGTTACGCTATAAAGGCTGCCATGATTTGGATCCTGACCACCAAAACAATCCTTCTCTTCATGAGCCACTGTAGGAATTCTGAGCTCCTATGCTAATCTTGAGTATAAAATTCCCAGATTTAAATGTCTGGGACCTGGAGGCATAACGCTCTTGGTGGAGAGCTCTCCATACTGAAATTTGTTCATTCATTGGACTGTCAGATCCAAGTGTGTTGACCTTTTAACTTCCGGTTTTCACTCAGGCTTCTGCCTGACAGAACAGGGACTTAATGCAGTAAGTAAAGGTACAAAAGGTGTGGCATTTTTGGCAAAGATGTTCATGAAAATAGCACAAGTTGCCTACTTACATTTTAATCTTTGTATGCTTATAGGTTTTTTAATTATAAAAGTGGACATGTAACAAAGTTAAATCTCACTGTTATACTTACTCGTGCAGTTGAATCTCTGCTACATGTTACTAGCACATCTATTGTTGGATGCAAGTCCAAACCATAGACTGCACTTAAGTGTCCATGATAGTGCCTAATAACCTAGATGGATAAGCAGACTTTAGTTAACTATTACGATATTTAAAAGGACAATCTTTCATTCATTGTGCCTTGACCAAAGAAGTCTAAACTTACCTTATTATATTCAAGATCCCAGCACTTCACCTGTTTATCTTCTCCACAAGAGAAGAGGTATGGACTTCTTCCACTTACTATCACCCCTCGTACAGTACTAATGTGGCCCGTCAAAGACAATTTTAATTTGCCACTAGCAAGGTCCCAGATCTGTATTGACAGATAAATATTTCTAAGTTAACCAGATACCACGCATTATATAGTTATAGCCTATGAAACTCTATAATGTATAATTAAAACCAATAGGTTTAAGAACTAAATTAGTGTATAAATGTTTATCACATTAGCATCTCGTGGTCTTGAGCACTGGTACTCAGACTGAGACTCATGAGCTGCAAATGGCTCTTTAATTTGTGGTTCTTTCCAGCATGATCCTAAAATATTGTGGTATTTTAGCATATGTGCCATGCCTCCCATGGCACATGACCAGGATCCAACCCCAAATTGGTCTACTGGTCGGATTATTAATTTCCTCAGCCTGGGCCTGGCACTGACAGTGAGTGCAACATGAATCCTTAACCAATCTACATTTTTAACCAATTAGGATGCTTTTATTATGTTATTAACCAATTGTAGTTGATAAAATAATAATACTTGGTCATTTTGCTGAGAATAATTATTATATCTACAAAAACAGCAAGTGAAGCAATGATTCTACTATACTGTCACTTTTCTGAATAATGTTGATTGCTAATTTACTCCTAAGCTGCTGAGGTCTGAGTATAAATGATCGAGAGTGTTCAATATTAATGTTAATTCTAATTTTGGAATGTGGGGTGAATCAAATCTTAGACAGGAAGTAATTCTCCAGAACAGGATGAGTGACTGGATATTGAAAGAAGACACGTTTTATAGCTTACTGCACGATAACAAAGAAACCATTTCTAACATTGGAAAACATATTTAAGAAGCAAGTGAAAATGAAAAGTTAAACGAGGACCATCATTTGCCAATCCTTCCCTCTACTACTTACCTTTATAGTTCTGTCAGCAGAGCCAGTAACAAACCATTGATTTCCTGGTTCAACTGCAATACATCTCACCCAGCCCAAGTGACCACTGATAACCTTTAGAAATAATAATAAAAGCCCTCTGAACCAAAATAAATGTACATTTAACAATATAACTGTTCATTCTACTTTTGATTTTCCAACAATATTAACATAAGAAATTTAATGCTTAACAATGAAATCAGATATCTAAAATTTGATTCGGAAAACAGTTAAATATTGGCTGAAATAGAAGCAAAATTTTCAGAAGAATGGGCATGTAAGCGTCAAAATATGAAAAACTGGATAGCTCAGGGAATTTGTAATGAAAGAGAGACCTTCACTTATAAGTCACTGATTCATAACAGGTAAGACATTATTATAGATTGCTATTTAGATTCCTAAGGCAAGGACCATGACTTGGCTGCATTTCTTCTACATTCCCATACAGTTGTAAATGAACTTCCTGTACTCATTCAACAATATCTGCAGAAGGATGTTACCATCAGCTGATTAAGCAGTCATAGCCGGGAAGTAAATCTGAGAGGAGAGAGGTGTTGAAGGACCCTGCACTATCTTGTACGTAACCTGAGGACTGCCTGTATAGCTTCATTACACCTCATCATCCTGTTGCTCTATTTTCTAGGCAGCACTGAATCTGGAAACCACATTCTATTTTCTGCAACTTCTACTCTCTGTTATATCAGAGTGCAGCTCAAGTGTAGTAGTGAATCAGGGCCAGAGTGCTAAAACAAACTGAACTCAAGCAAGGCTCCCCTGTACAGATGAGTTCAATGCACATTATACAGCCTTGCGCCCTTTTTGGGTTGTAACAGCCAGTGCTGGCCCTGACTGAGCAGAAGCTGAAGACTATCTTACTGAGCCTTCCACCATCTTTTCTCTAAAGTTCTGTTTTCCTCATTAAACTGTTCCCACTATTATTTACTTGTTTCCATTTTTTACTCAGATGCACCCATTAAAATGAAATTTGCCTCTTAATTTTTATAACTGAACTGCTGCAGAACTAATCTTACATCACACTCTTTACATATTCCTTTGTGCTTAGCTGGCTTTCAAAAAGACTTATTTTTAGATTAACTATGGGTTTCATGGCTAATAAATCTTCAGTAAGTATTTACAAATGTCAAGTGTACATAGAAAGGCACTATACAAGTGGAACGGTGCTAACAAAGTACTCCTCTGGTAACTTAGCATTGCTGAGATTTTCCAGTCTCACATAAAGAAGTCTGATCTTTCTTCAGTAACTAGACCATTTCTCTGACCACAGTTGAAAGCTACTTGAGTTTCATATCATGTGCACATTACTTAAAGGAAATGTTTACATCTAAAGGGAGTGTTTCATTGCTATCAGTTTATTTTTTCTACCAGAAACCTTTAGAATGTTTTTCTCTTTAAGCTTATTTTGCCATATCATACTCATTTCACAAGGTATTTAAATACACTGGTGATAACTTAAAAAGACTGGTGTCATCTGAGAGAATAAAATAAAGGCAACAAATTAACATCAATGCAATATTTAGAATGAACTCAAGCATATACAAGTCAAGCAGTTCTAAATGAAGTGACAATTCAGTAGTGTTCAGACAGTATTCAGTTAGAAAAAAATGGTCAGATTTACTGAAAAGTTCTCCAATATTGCTGTATTTAAAAATTGTATTGGATGCTTGTATTTCATTATTATTTTTAACACTGTTAGAACAGCAACTGCAGGGTTATCCACTTGAAATCTAGTCTATTTTAAAAACTTAAAGAAGTTTAGAAGTTGTATCTTGACTAGGAGTCACTCTAAGTTTTTCTCTCACCATTGTTAAAGTGAAAGACCTACACAAACAAGAGGGAAAAAGGTAATTATAAAAAATGTGCTGCCAAATGTACAAAGTAAACAAAATGGAAAAAACCCTTCACATATTTTATTCTAATTTCTCTTTTCAGGTGAAACGTAGAAGAGGCAGAAGGGACACTCACATTTCAGCCAAAGGCTTGACTTTTAAGTTGATTAATTCCTTTTTTGGCATAAGATAAGGAAAACTTTAAATGGTATGGGCTTTAGTTTATCTACAGAAAATGTTATACTCCTTTTTATTGTGTGCATATTCTCAACTTACTCTGTACAGTTTCCATGGTGGGTGCCATTGGGGTTTAGGCATTGTTGGAGCTTTCTTTGCAATCAGTGCAGAATTTTTGTTCCCCCCTGCTTCCATCATAGCCTATAAATTGAACAGAAGGTTACAATTACATTATTTTACAAACACTCTCCACTCAACTCTGGAGTTTCTTGCACTCCCTTTCAAAGCCTTGAGGATGCTTTTTCCCCCTCAAGGCCTCTCACATTTTGGTGAGTTTTTCTATCAAGATTGCTGCATGGAGCTAATTGCAGAATTAGGGCCCAACTCAGTAAAAGATTACCATACCAATATTATGGTATTTCAGTTAGTCTATAAGGTGCCACAGGACTCCTCATCGCTTCTGCAGATTCAGACTAACACGGCTACCCCTCTGATACTTCATACCAATATTAGAAGTGATATGTATTATAAGACTCTCACCATTGATAAACCAGGAGGCTGTGTGCGGTCTGAAATCCCAGCATGTCTGTAAATATCACCCACACCTGCAGCAGTACGATTTGCCTCTAACCTGGATAGAAAAAAAAATTCTAAACAATGAATAAAAAATGTGCCACATTTAAAAGTTAAATTAAAAGCTGTAAAATATTTGTATTCAAGAATCTTCTTTTTTCTGAAGATCTCTGCCCAGCTTGTGGATTCTTACAAATTGGAGATTATGTAGCCTATCAAGTTAATTGCCTATCATGCTAATAATATGGTTGTGTTGATTTAGATTAATTCGTTAATATATTAATGGGTAGATTTAGTATAGAGGTAATAGTTAAGAGCTGTAACACAAGAAATCTGCTAAAGGCCATTTGCAAGATCAGAAGAAGCTAAGTATTCTGCTTGGTATTCCTCATAAAAAAATTATGGTTTGGTGTTCCTCCGTCTTAAATAGTTTAAGAAACACTGGTCTATAAAGTGCTACCAGACTATTCGTTGTTTTTTAAGTTTATCCAGTACAGACTAACCCTGAGGCTTCTACTTTAGTGTCTTTCTAACCACCAAAACAATTATCATCATCATGATGTTAAGAACACTACACTTTTCTCTAAAACCCATAAGCATAAAAAAGCTTGGCCACTCCAAGTTAAGGTTCTGCTTAAGAAAAAGCAAAATATATACAAATGCAGTTAAAGACATCCTCATTCTTCCTCACTGTGCTACTCTGGGGTTCTATAATTTTAGCATCCCATCCAAATAAAATTCATCTAATCAACCACAAAACAAATTCTTAATTTTAAAGAAAGTGTTAGGTGGAATGCTAAGAATATAATCTGATTACCAGTAGAAAAAAAGTTAAGATTGCTTGGGTTACATTAATTTTTCAATGAGCATATTCTCTAGTAATCAGATGTTTAATTGCAAATAGCAATCTTATTTTGTAATTTCCAAGAAAATGTTAGGAATTTTATTTATTGCTTTAAAAAGAAAAGCATACCACTTGAAGGTGTTTTTGTCTGAAGAAAGATTCTTTTGTTGTTAAACCATATTACACTTTTTACCTTCTTACAGATTATATAAAAGAAGTTTAAGAAAATAACTTCGCAATACCTGGACTGAGAAGGAGGAAGGGCTACAGCTAACGACTGAGCAGCTGATTCACTGGGCATTCTCTGGATTTTAGTGTCAGCTGTCAGAGCCACACCTTGTAAAAGAAAGTATACAAAAATCTCCTCAGAAATTTATTAATATTTTTCTATATCACTTTTGCATAAAACTGAATATTTTGGAAACAAAGAAATCTTGTTCATTCATTGACACAGCTAGATAAGAATATTGCAAAGCTAAATAAAACAAGGTTATTGTTCATTTTAGTTCAAACCCTTTACCCTGTGACTCAACACCATACAGAGACATATACAAGACTTGAATGGCAGTGCAAATGGTGTGGTTCTATTACAACCGGCAAGAAATGTCTACATAGAGAAAGTATGCACACTCCTTCTCCCAGACACTAAGGAACACTGAGCCCAACATGGGTGGAAATTGTTTTCAGGAGAAGTTGCTGAAGTGACAACCAGAAAACCCACAATTACATAAATCAGGGGAAGGAAAAATGTGTCTTGTGGGCCGGGCCGCATTCAGCCCACAGTCCAGCAGGTCTCAGACAGTCTGTTCCCTTCCCTTAAAGCATACCAGTTCAAAATGTTTTTATTTTGGTTTTGCACAAGGCTAGGGAATTTTTCCACGTCTCTTATCATATGTTTTAAGTACTGGATACTAAGGTAGTACAGGCAGTCCCCGGGTTATGTCAGTCCGACTTAAGTCGGACCCCTAGTTACGACAGGGGAGGGGAGGGGGCACAGCTAGTGCGAGGTGCCTTCCCCACTGTCGCCGCCTCCGGCGGCGCGGGGGGCACTTCCCCCCAGCAGACCAGGGAGATGCAGAGCAGCTTTTCTCACCGCGGAGGATGCGGGCGGTGGGACCACGGTGTGTCTGGGCGGTCCTGCCACCCGCGTCCTCCGGGGCAAGAAAAGCAAAGCCGCTCCGCGTCTCCCTGGTCTGCTGGGGAGGGAGGGGGGGGAAGAGGGGCACACTAGCTGCGCCCCCCACAGCAGACCAGGCTTTTCTCGCCGACGCCTGGGGTAGAGCAGCTGGGGGGCTGCCGGGTTGGTCCCACAGCGCCGAGGGTCGGCGCTACCAGACCAACCCAGCAGGCGTGTCCGATTCAACCGCTGCTGGTCAGTTTCAACAGCGGCTGAATCTGGACGCCAGTTCCGACTTACATACAAATTCAATTTAAGAACAAACCTACGGTCCCTATCTTGTACGTAACCCGGAGACTACCTGTATTCAAATGAAATTCTACTTTTTCTATACCAACATGACAATTTCAATTTTGCCTACAGCATATATTTTGATAACGTAATGTAATTAGGAAAGTATAGTTAATAGTATTTCTGATAAATTCCATTTAAACTGTAAAAACATGGGTATCAACCTACAGACCTGAATCAAGAAAAACTCCTACTACTGAAGTTAATATAGTTGAGGCCTCCTGTAGATATCCAAAGTAGGATATATTTTAGATGCACCTATTTTTCCACAACTTTCTTCTAATATAGACAGTCAGAAAGGTTTAATTCAATGAAACACGTTTAATCAATATAATGCACAGATGAAATGAAACCTAACCAGCAGTTGTCTAGATCATCAACAAAAACTCTGAATTTCCTGGGTTTTTTTAAATAATTTTTATATAATTTGTGCTTGAAAAGCATAAATAATTTAATATAAAATTTTACTTACCAGGACCAGCTGGATATGGATGTGTACCTGTTATCAAATATTCAAGTTCCTGTCCTAGAAAATAGATTTTTTTTCTTGATTATTGCTTTTTGTTGTAAACACTAACTTGAGCAATTACCAAAAATCATAAGATATCAGCACCAGAGAAAATGGCCATCACATCTAATTTGTAACATGAAGGGTACATCTATACAGCAACATTATTTCAAAATAATTTAGGCCACATCTACACAGTAGGCAATTATTTCAAAATAATGTTGAAATACTGTCAAGCTGGAAGACTTTACTCCGGCTCCTATAAATCTCATTGTACGAGGAATAAGGAAAGTCAGAGGAAGAGTGCTCTATTTTGAAACAGGGATGTTAAATATCAAGCAATTAACTAATCGAATAGTCGATGCACTTTTGCACCAACTATTTGATTAGTCAATAGAGTGCCTTCGCCTTTGAAGCGTGACAACAGCTGTAGTGTGACAACCCTTCAAAGGAGAAAGCGCTGCTGTGTGGAGCCCAGGGTTAGCTGGGGACTCTCCCGCTGACCTAGGCTCCATGCGGCGCTGCCGCTTTGAAACACCAGCGGAGAGCCTGCTTTGAAATGCAGCGTGCAGCCTGGGGACACCCTATCTGGCCCCAGGCTGCATGTGGTGCTGCAGCTTTGAAGTACTCCCTTTTCTTCCCCACCTTGCTGCTTCTTTCTGATAGGGATGTAATAGTGTAGTTGATTAACCAATAAGCAAAAGTTTATAGGTTAATGCTATTAGACTACATGCATCCACCGCTCCCAGTTGCCAGTACATTTTTTAGTAGGTTGGCCAGTAATCTGGCTCAGTTCTGGTTTTAAACGGGTCCGGGACCGACCCCATCTGTGGTTCTGCATTTAAAGTGTATTACGAGGTGGGCAGGAAGCCCAGCTCAGTTTCAGCTTGTACCAGGTCTGGGAGCTCAGACCCCCCCTAGACAGGGGCTGCTGCTAACCCGTGCTGCTGCCTCTTTATTAGAGGTAGCAGCACAGGGTGACAAGCAACTGGTCAGTGAGGGGAGCTGGTTTTTAAACTGGCTCCCCTTGCAGACCAGGTCTCACCTGGCACCCTGACCTCCTGCCTCTGATAGAGAGGCAGCAGCATGGAGTGGCAGGGGGCTCCTCAGGAGTGAGGCTGGAGCTCACTGGCTGCAGCTCACTGGCTGCCAGCCCAGCTCCCAGAGACTATAGACTAGTTGACTAACTGATAAGAATTATTGAGGTTACTCGACTATTCAATTAACCGACATTTAACATCCCTACCAACTATCCAATAAGCATTTGCTTATCAGACAGTTGACTAGTATTTATATCCCTGCTTCGAAGTAAGTGCTGTGTAGACACTCCCAATTTCGAAATAAACTATTTTGAAATAAGCTAAGCAATTGACATAGCTCAATTTGCATAGCTTATTTCGAGTTAAGCTCTGCTGCGTAGACACACCCTATCGTACCTGAGGGTTTTCTATTTTCCTTTTTCTTATAGCCTCCGCTCTTTAAGGAAGATATCTAGCATTGATCACAAAAAGCACCGTTGCTGATGCTACTGCTAGCACCAGCAATAACTTGGCTTCAGGAACACTCTAGTCTAGCGGTCGCCAACCAGTAGATCGGGATCTACTGGTAGATCTTGGAGCCTCTGGAAGGTGATCCTGACTAGTTTGGCCAAGAGGCTATCAAGTGCCAGTACTTCAGCTGCACTTCTCCCTACTGCTGCATATCTCTTGCCCTTTGCCTTGGAGCTACCCCTCCCCCGGGGAGCCTCCTGCTTTCTGTGCAGGGCAGGGGAGGGAAAGGAGGGATGCTGATCTCAAGGTACCTCTGCCCCCCTACTCTGTATTTTATCTCCACAAAGCAGAGAAGGGGGCACAACAGAACTTGGGATGGAGTTTGCTGGCTGCTTTAGGGAGTGATCCAGGGGTGAGCCTGCCTTAGCCCCACTGCATCACCAACCAGGAGCCACCTGAGGTAAGCAGGGCCCAGCTGGAACCCACATCCTAAAACTCTACCTCAGTCATTAATCTCCCCCCCCCCCACAGCCCTAGGCCCTGCCCTAGCACTAAGCATCCCTGCATCCAATCACCATCCCAGAACCTGCACTTGAAACCCCCCTTACATCTCAACTGCCTGCCCCATGAGCAGCTCAGAGTCCCTCTCACACTTCAGGTCCCTTAATCCAAGACCAAAGCCTGCACCCCAACCCTCTGTCCCAGCCTAATGAAAGTGAGTCAGGCTGGGCAAGAGAGGGCGAATGGAGTGAGCAGGGGCAGGGCTTCAGAGAAGGGGCGGAAAGGAGGTGGGGCAAGGATATTTATACTTGAGGTAGATTTTGGACTGCACTTAAATTCAAAAAGTGATCTCGTGCTTAAAAAGGTTGGAGACCACTGCTCTAGTCCCTCACAAAAATACTAACTAAAAAGTATATTTTCAAACAGACAAGGATATGTTAGAGAAACTCAGAAAAAAGGATTCTGTTACCAAACAAGTGCATATTTGTGATTTTTAGAAAAGAATTAATCAAGTTATTAAGCTAAGAATGAAATTAGCATGAGATTAGAAAAGGGAGGGGGAGGAAAGAAGGGGAATACAATTTACTTTTTCTTTGTGTTGTTAAAAGAATCCTCACCACATCAGCTTCTCTCACCATCTATATCTCTCTCAGAAGGCAAAATCTTTTGAAAAGAAAATCTCAACTAGAGTATGAATATATGAGGCACTTTTGAGAGAAGAGCTACAGTAGAAAGGGTCACTGAGAAGTTTAAAAAAATCTCAAGGAACATGTCATGTGCCTCTAGAAGAGTTTTATTAGATACCTACATATCTAAAGGCAGTTGAAAAAGTTCTGTATCATTCCTAACCAAAACTTCCCATCTTCTTTACCATCAGTGATAAACTAGAAGAACATGACAGATCTTATTCTTTCTTTGCCACTTACATGAAAACACCCATATTGAACCTTTTCATTTGTATAACATCGTATCACACATTAAATTCTGAAAAAGATCTTCCCTCTTCCAAATAACTTATGCTGTATGGGCATATTCCAGTAGAACACAAAACAATGAAAAACTGATGTTTTTCTTCCAATTATTTCTCTGCTAGGAGATGTAAATATCTGTTAAAATAGTTAACTGGTTAAACTATTAAAATTATAGCATTAACCACTTAACCATTGGCAGGCCGGCAGCTGGTGTCCTGCTTGCTCTTCCCTACCCCACTCCGGGCCACTCTGGCATGACCAGGGTCCCGCCTGCTCCTCTAACACTGCTGGGGTCCAGCCAGCCAGTCCAATACAGCTAAGGTTGCTCTTGCCTTATGGGGCTGGCCATCCAAATGGTTACCCAATAAGCATTCTGGTAAGCCTAAGGCTTACCAACTAGCTAACCTTTTACATCCCTAATCACAGCGATCTTGAAATTTAATTTCAGATAACAAGAAAAGGCACACTGACCTTGATTTGCAGGATATTGTTTATGTCCATAAGGATCCCCTGCATCTGGAGAACCCTTCTCTCTAAAATTTTCCTTCAGAATAGGCATGTGTAGGACAGAACCATAATCTGTGCGAAGTTTGATTGACATCTTTAATTTGTGGCTGTTTAAAAAAATAAAATATATTAAAACTTGATTTTGTAATATTATTATTCATTTAAAAATAAGATTTACAAAGAAATTTTAAAGCACACATTTAGTTATGCTAATACAGGTTGAACCTCTCCGGCACACTCTGGTCCAGCAACATCTATGGTTTGGCATGATTTTAGTTAGGTGGGATGTTAACTTATCATGGACGAGGTCAAGTTTCCTGTGGTCCCAGAAAGTTTGATTACAATCTCCAGTCCTAGCTCTCTGTGTTCTGTGCTGTTATACAGCTCTAAATCACCCCTAAATGTCTTCTAAGAGCCCACTAAAAAATGGAAGTGCTGGTAATGCTGCTAGACAACATTGACCTCCTGCTGTTTGGCACTGGTCAGGTCCCGAGGTCACTGACTAGAGAGGTTCAACCTGTATTTTCCTTTTACTATTACCAGAGAGCAGTTTTGCCAAAGAGTTTGAACATACACTATCTGATTTGGAGGACAACTAGAGCTGGAAAGAAATTTTCTAATGAAACAATTTTGTCCAACCAGAAACAAATTACAAAAGTGAACCAGGTTCTATTAATTCATGGTAGCTGCTGGGAACCCTAAGCTCCCTCGGTGTACAAATTCACGGCAGTTGCATTGCACAGGCTGACCCAGAGCCAGAGATTCCAGGTTTCCAGGGCTTAATGGTTAACGGGTTAATGGGTGAGGCTTACTGGTTTTGGTTAACCAGTGAGGGTTGGAGCTGCTCCCCGCCCACTGCGCATAGGGGGGCTGTTTCAGATGGGGCACTCCAGACTGCCCAGACCAGCCTCTGTCCACGTCAGGGGTGGGAGAGTCCACAAACAGGCTAAAGCAGTCCCCTGGCCGCCTCACCTTTAATAGGTTAATCAGTTACACATTACAGTTAATCAACTAAACGGGATTTTACATCCCTAGTTCACATTTCCATGGCAATCCCTCTACGACAGTGGTCCCCAACCTTTAGAGGCTCCCGGGCGCCCGGGAGGTGGGGCCACTCACGCGCCAGGCACCCGGAAGCGGGGCCGCGCGTCCTGGGGCACGTCAGGGGACTGGGATGCCCTTGCACCCGCGCGTACGGGGGCGGCACCACTCACAGGCCGCGTGACTGGAGGCAGGACCAAGCATGTGCCCTGCCCCAGGAGCCAGCACCGGCATGTGCCGTGACCCCGGGCAGGGGCTGCCCAGGCGCTGTGCACCCTGGGGCCGGCACCGGCATGTGCTGCACACCCGGGGCCAGGGCCAGCACCGGCATGTGCTGCGACCCCTGGCAGGGGCCGCCCATGTGCCCGGAGCTGGCACCTGCCACACCCCTGGGGGCGGGGCCAGCCGAGATTGCTCCACGGGCGCACATAAATGGCCTGGCTGGCACTATGGCGCCCGCGGGCACCGCGTTGGGGACCACTGCTCTACGACAAAGCTATTAAAGTCCTTGCCACTGAACTGACAGCCAGTCAGTCAGCCTTGCAAGCTCCCAACCCAGCCAGACAGGCTTTCAGAAGATAAGACTCCTAGCTCCACAGCAGAGAATCTATAAGCCCTGGGAACCTTAGCTTCAGCCTGGATTTCAAGACTCCCTGCTATGAAGCTAGGAGCCTGGAAGTCCTGATACTGACTTCCACACTCTGTGTATCTAGGACAGCCTCACCATGAAGACTGTCCTGGGATCAAGAATCTCTCAGCTTCCGGACTCTGACTAGCTGCTGGCTAGTAATCTGGAAGCCCTGAGATCATTGGGCAGGGTGGTCTTCAGGGAGGGCCGCCTGAGAGCTACAGACCTTGGGAGCTACAACAATGGCTGACTGAAAATGACATTCTTGTCAGTTTCTGGACTACTAAATGTCAATTTCCAACAGCAGTTGCCTGTCCCCAGAATCAGTATTTTATTTTAGAAGCACCAAATATAGTTTCCAAAATTAATTTTTAGTTTATAATGAAATCTAAACTGGACCAAATACAAAAAAATTAAATGAAAGCAAAGAAACTGGAAACAGTTGCAAAGGAGGGCCTCACATTAATGTTTTTAGACATACCAATAATTTTATGATAGTTGTTCTTACCTTACATCATCCAATGGTATAGGCTTTCCATTATCAGCCACAAACATATCATGAGTTCTCTTCAAGGATCTGAACACTAATGTGTGCACAGAGTGTTTTTGCACCTCCTGCAGCAGAGGAGATACATTTAATTATATATATGGTTTAATTATATATATGATAATTCAATGAAAAGCCTGAAAACTACCAAGAAAATTAATGATTCTTGTCTTCCATATGTAAGAAACGAACTCAGTTTAGTGTATGCAGTGGTGCTTGAGTGGTAAAAACTATAATTTGGTGTAAGAGACAGTTTCATTTTCCCCATCCTCAAACTTAAATCACCACTTAATTATTTTTTCCTTTCATGGGATACTGTGAGAAAAAAAATCTAGCAGGACAAAACTTTGATCAACATTTTATTTCCAACTGTAGGCACATAAGTGAATTTAATGAAGACAAACAAAAAAGGTTTTTATTTACACTTGCCAGCTACATTTTTTATAAATAGCCAATAAAGCGAGTCAGGAGAAGAAAAAAAGCTACTCAAGAATTTATTGTTGAGTGATTGAAGGATATTTATTTCCTATATTTTGACATGTGAGGTTGACAATTTGTGTTTGAACAGTTATCAAACTTTTAACTTTTTGAATCAACATCTATTGTCATTCAATAGTCTGAGCCTCCATCAATAGTTTCCAAGAAGCATGAACATTTAAATTCTAAAAATTGGAAAAAGCTTACAAATGAAAATGGATATTACTAATTGGTATAACAAAATTATAGTTCTACAGAGCCTAAATATAATGTTAAAACATAATTAACAAGATAATCTGCTGGTCTGGTCTGACTGAGTACTGCAATTCCTATTGTTTGATGCTAATGCCACTTGCTTTTGTAAAGTACTTTGAGATCTATGGCACCTAACAGGCCATGTAATCAGATAATAAAAGAAATTAGTCTGATGGTTTTCTGTCCAGTTTTACCTGCCAGACCTCCATATAAACGCAGCACCACAGGGGCAAATACTGGCTGCGGGGGAGGGGACATCCCATTTAGCAATTAAAATTTTGGTGAGACACATGGGGAGGGAGGGTAATCAACAGTCCCCTACGCCGCGCCATACCCTTTGCTAGTGGTCAAGCCCCTTGGTAAAGCCAGCAGAGGCCCAGTGCCGGAAAGCGGCTGTCGGGTTTAGGGCTGACAGGGCGGCAGGAGGGTGCTCACGTTACCGCCAAGCGGCAGAGACGGCGACACCTTTCCCGCAGGTTTAAAACCTTTTCTGCAGGAACGCGGCTCCCCCCGTCCCCCACAGACCCCGCAGGGGGCGTATCGGGAACGCGGCGCGGAGCTAATCGCTGACACAGGGGAGGCCGAAATCCCCCCGCCTCCCCCGCCTGTGCGCGCGTTGTTCAGGCCGCGAGCTCCTCGCTCCGGCAACGGCAAACCC